TGTGTGATATGCTTGTATTATTTTATATTTAAACTATGTACAAACTTAAGTATTTGTATGTTGTTTGGTGTATCCAATGTTTGAAATAATAATATTAAATATGTTGTATTGATTTACTCTCTATTTAATTTTATTTCTATTTCAAGAAGGTTAGACATGGAACATGTTGAAGACATTTGCATTCCAGACAGTGGAACTACCCACACAAACCTCAAATGTAAGAAATATTTCACTGAAATAAATCTTACTAAAGGTGTAATAAATACAATCTCAGGTCCTACAGATTTGATTGAAAGAACATGTAATGTTATGTTCATATTACCAAATGAAACAAAGTATGTCATTAATAATGATTTATGCTCTCTAAAATCAAAGAAAAATTTGTTGAGTTTTAGTGACATATGAAATATGAAATATATCGTCAAGGATATGATACTGAAACTGCAACTGAAGGTATATATGAAATATATTAACATAACTACTAATGTTTTGGAAAAGAAAAAAAGTTTAGAAAAACTACCAAAATTGTCTTCTAGATTACATTGTACTTATATGCATGCAATTGAATGTAATTTAGTATTAAAAGAAGATCCCAAAATGATGAATTTATGGCATGATCGTTTAGGTCACCCTGGTTCAACAATGATGTATAAAATAGTTGAAAGTAGCCATGATCATCCTTTGAAATATTTAAAACTTATAAAAGGAGATAAACCATGTGAAGCTTGCTCTCTTGGAAAGCTAATAACAAAGCATTCGCCAAGTAAGATTCAGGAATAATCACGTGCATTTCTTGAAAGAATTCAAGGTGATATATATGGACCTATCCATCCACTGTCAGAATCATTCACGTACTTTATGGTATTAATTGATGCATCTGGTAGATGGTCATATGTATGTTTACTGCCAAGTCGTGATATAGAATTTGCAACATTTCTTGCACAAGTAATTAAACTAAAGGCTCAATTTCCTGATTACACTATAAAGAAAATTAGACTTGACAATGCTGATAAATTTACATCTGAATCATTTAATAATTATTGCATGTCAATTGGAATTACTGTTGAACATCATGTTCCTCATGTGCATACACAAAATGGTTTAGTCGAGTCTTTAATCAAATGTCTTAATATATTGCTAGGCCATTAATTATGAAAACTAAACTACCAGTTACAGTTTGGGGTCATGCAATTTTACATACCGCAACACTCATCTGTCTAAAAGGTCAAATGCTTATCATAAACATACACCTTATCAACTTGCAATTGGTAAGAAACCAAATATTTCTCATTTATAAATATTTGGTTGTGCAGTATATGTCCAAATATCTCCACTACATAGAACAAAGATGGGATCTCAAAGGAGGTTGGGAATATATGTGGGGTATGAATCTCCTTCTATTATTAGATATCTTGAACCTTTAACATACGATGTTTTTCAGGCAAGATTTGCTGACTGTCATTTTGACGAAACAAAATTTCCAACACTAGGGAGAGAAAATAAAAAATTAGAAAATGAGATAACATGGTCTGTACCCCATTTATTACATTTGAACCCATATAATAAATCATGGGAAGAAAATGTAAAGAAATTGTGCACTTACAAGATTTAGCAAATCAATTACCATATTCTTGTACAGATTTGAAAAGAGTGACAAAGTCACATGCAACAACTATAAATGTCACAGCTCGGATTGAGATTTCAAATCTAAATGATGTACCAAGTACATCTAAGGCACACTTAAGGTGTGGCCGACCTATGGGATCCAAAGACAAAAGTTCCTAAAAAAGAAAAGGGATAGAAAAGGTGAATATGGTTGAAAGTGATATTAAAAAGACACTAGATAATAATAAATCCACAATTGAAAAACGTGCTCCCGAAGAAGCACAAGATGACGATAATGAGATCATTGATAATGAAAATGAAAATAAGAATGATCTTGAAATTTCAATTAATTATGTTGATACAAGAACTTTGTGAAACCAAAAAGATATAAATATAGATGAAATGTTTTCATTCCCTATTGCATTTGAAATTATGAATAAAAATGATGATCATAAACCAAGAACTATGAATGAATGTCAAAATAGACATGATTGGAAAAATTGGAAGGATACAATAGATACTAAATTAAATTCTTAAAAATCGAAAAGTATTTGGCCCCATTACGACTATACCAAAAGATGTGAAACTGGTTGGGTATAAGTGGGTCTTTGTAAGAAAACAAAATGAGAAAAATGAAATTGTCGAATACAATGCTCGTCTTGTTGCACAAGGTTTTTACCAAAGACCAGAAATCAATTATGAGGTAACTTATTCTCTTGTTATGGATGTCATTAATTTTCGTTATTTATTGGTTTATCAGTATTGAACAATCTTAATATGTATTTTATGGATGTTGTTACTACTTATTTGTATGGATCACTTGATACTGATATATACATGAAAATTGCAGAAAGATTTAAAATGCCTAAGACACCAAAATCTAGAGAAATGTATGCAATTAAGTTGCAAAGGTTATTGTATAGATTAAAATAATCAGGGCGCATGTGGTATAATAGGCTAAGTGAATATTTGCTTAAAGAAGACTATGAAAATAATCCTATTTGCCCTTGCGTTTTTATAAGAAAAACAATATCCGGTTTTGTAATAATTGCTGTCTATGTTGATGATTTAAATATCATTGGAACTAATTGATAAATAAAGGAAGCAAGAGATTACTTAAAGAAAGAATTTGAAATGAAAGATTTGGGAAAAACAAAGTTCTGCCTTGGTTTACAAATTGAGTATACCAAAAATGGTATATTGGTACATCAATCAAATTATACGTAAAGGACATTAAAAAGGTTTAACATAGACAAAACAAACCCTTTAAGTACTCCAATGATGGGTAGAACACTTAACATTAAAAATGATCCATTTAGACATAAGAAAGATAACGAAGAAAATCTTGAATCTAAAGTACCATACCTTAGTGTCATTGGGGCACTCACATACCTTGCTAACTATACCAGATCTGGTATAGCTTAAATTTATTAGCAAGATTCAGTTCATGTCCTACAAAAAGACATTGAAAATGAACAAAGCATATATTCCAATATCTTCGAGGTACATCAGACCTTGGTTTATTTTATTCTAACAATACAAAACCAGTTTTACTTGGTTATGCATATGCATAATATTTGTCAGATCCACATAATGCTAAATCACGGACTGGATATATATTTACATATGGTAACACTGCAATATCATAGAGATCACAAAAGCAAACACTTGTAGAAACTTCTTCAAATCATGCTGAAGTAATTGTTCTTCATGAAGCAAGCAAAGAATGTAGATGGTTACGATCGGTAACTAGACATGTCCAAGGAGCATCTGGTTTATCCATTGATAATAATCCAATAATTTTGTATGAAGACAATGCTGCATGTGTTACCCAGATGAAAGAATGTTACATCAAAAGTGACAGAACCAAGAATATCCCTTCAAAATTCTTTTCATTCACACAAGAACTTGAAAGAAACAAAGAGGTTAATATTCAATATATTCGTTCATGTGATAATATGGCAGATTTCTTCACAAAGGCACTTCCTACATCAATTTTCCAGAAGAATGTACAAAATATTGGAATGTGTCAACTTCGAGATCTTTAAAGAAGAACTATGTGTGCTCTATTGAGAGGGAGCATCAAGTTGTACTATTTTTCCCTTATTAAGATTTTTATCTCAACGGATTTTTCCTAATAAGGTTTTTAACAAGGCAATATATGTTCTCATAAATTTCTCTTTTGATAAGACTTCGATGGAACACCATAATAGATATTTCAAAGAGGGAGTGTTATAATATTATTATTTAAAAATATCTATCTAAGTAATGACAAATTATTGTAGATACATAATTTGTCAAAATTTAAATAGTAAGTCCAATTATTACATTAGTGTAATAGTTGCATTTCTAGTAGTATAAATACTACATTTGTCAATGTAAAAATACACACCAAAAATTTAGGTTGAAAGTACAAGTAAAACATTCTACTTTCTTCAATTTTTAATCTAGTTTGATAGTTAAAACTAATTTATGAACTTATATTAGTTCATAAATATTTACAAATATTTAAAGTCGATTTTTCTCAACAAATACTTTGTTTTAGTGTAGTCTATTTTTTTATCATTTATATTTCTACTTTATTGTATAACTGTGTAATACTTAAAAATCTCAATTAAAATTTCTATTATTAATTTTTATATTTTTTTATTATTAATTCCACATAATTTCTTACTATTAAGTTCCACGTAAATTTTATTATTAACTTTTCAAATGTTAAAATTTTTAAAAATTATATTTAAATAAAAATACTGGTTAATTAAAAAAACAAATAAACAATCACTAATAAATTAAAACCTTTGCCGCTAAAAAAAATGATATGGGATCCCTTGGCCTCATCCCTCTCCCAACTATAAATTCTTCTGTAAGACTTTAATTTACCACACTGATATTAATGCGGTTCGCAGACATTCAAAAATCCAACCTCCCAAATTCTCTCCTTCTTGTTCACAAGATTTGTTTGTTAATTACTGAAACCGACAACCAAAGGGATAGAAATGAGAGACGAAGTATTACAAGTTATACCCAGAACTTAAATGCTCTTTGAAGTATTAGAAGATATAAGCAGAACTTAAATGTTTTTTGCGGCGAGGTTTTATAGTGAGAGATAATAGAAAGATAGCAAAGCACAATAACAAGGTTTCGCATAAGCATATACATACACTATACATATACTAGCATTAACTAGTTAGGTTAGATACAGCTCCACACCAAACAAAACATTACTATTAGCATCTGGAGACTAAATAAACAACATGCTAATTATTGGCAAGAACTACACAACCTCTATATACATCAAACACACAAAAACTCAAAGCAAAAATGCATTGAATACAAACAGCTAGAGCCAAAAGGAAAACAAACACATAGATCCAGTAATCATCACTAACTCATGCTCATTTATCACACATTGAAAGGAGAAGAAGAGCTTGGTCTGTTTTGGCCTGTCTTGATCTCGCTCTCGTACGCATCTGATATTGACCTTCTTCGAAAACGAAACGGCTCTCTAGCTCCTACACGTACAAAACATCAATTGCATATTATTATGATGAACAAATGAATAATAATTATACATTATTAAACTGTAACATGGTTCCATTGTCGTCCAGCGGTTAGGATATCTGGCTTTCACCCAGGAGACCCGGGTTCGATTCCCGGCAATGGAATATTTTTATTCTTTTGTTTTGCACCTGGAACAAAATAAGTACCTTACCGGAAAATGGAGATAGTGGAGGAGTAGAACCGGCGGGGGAAGCCGGAGCTGATCCACTCGGACTCTGGTACCCAGCTGGTTTCACTATCATGATACTACGTGTCACTTTCACTGCACCCTCTCCCGAATCTACACCGTAGCATCTCACGTTTCCACCCTCTGATTCTGATAAAAACACACAAGCGAGAACGGTAAATAATACTTTAGCAAAAATTTTAATTTAAAAAGTATAGTTGTCGTTATATATTTTGAAAGTATAATTCTCGTCATTTAAGTAGCATGAATATATTCGATAAATTTATATTATTATTATTATAATACTATAAAAAGTACTGTTATTTGGGAAAATCCAACGGCGGTTAATAGGTAAGATTCCATGCGTACCCTTATCGGAGATAGAACGGGAAGGCAAGCTAGGGTGTTTTCGGAGCTTGCCGAGACCATTCTCCGGCATAGGTCCGGCGACGGTGTCATCCCACAAGTGATCGAGAAGGCTCATGAGAATATGGGAAGCGCAGACACACAGTGGTATGGGAATTTAGATAGATATTTAACAAAAGTTTCAGCACATCATGAGTTTCAGAACTATATCTGAACCGTTGATTTGAAGTGGTTCTATACGACGTGGACGGAGGATCTGGGTACTCTTAGAGATAAGGTTTGGCAGACACGTGGTCCCCGAAATTATGGGGATTAGTATGGGATGATGACGTGACACGTGTCTTTGCTTGTATGCGAAAGAAAGGGCTATCACGTGATATTTCCTTTTCTCCGAGCATTAAATTCCAAAAGTATCCATGACTACTACTAATACAAACTAGGAAGATAAGACTCTCCTTACATAAAAATGGCATTATGTTGAACAAGTCGCTCCTTTGTCTTTTGCGTTTTTCCAAACCCAATCAACTAAAAAAAGAGAAATATAACGTGGAATTGTTCAACACTTTATTGCCTTAAATAACACTTTATTATTATAAAACTCTCCTTATTTTTTTTATTAAGACTTGAATTATTTGAAAGGGTTAATATATTAGAATATTATTAATAATTCATATTTATTTAGTTGTACTATTTTCTTAGCCCCTAAGTTTGTTAGAGGGTATTTTAGTATTTATCTTATTCTAGTAACCCTAGTTTTAGCTTATAAATAGGGTGACAATCATTGTAACAAATCATCATGTTTTGTAGCCGTCATTCTCTTATTAGTAATATTTCCTATTTCATCATTTATTCTATCTTTGCACCAACAATTGGTATCTAGAGCTCTGGTTCAGATTCATTGGGAAACACGGGAAACACGAGTGAACGTGAGGTCTTGTGTGTTTGATTTTGTTTCTCAGATTCTTGTTGAATCTTGAACAAAATCTGATCAGAATTTTTTAATTCTGTGGGTTGGGAAACACTGTGTGAGAAAACTCTGAGTGTATTGTGCAAAGTAGAAGATGAACGGAAACGGCAACATGAACACCAAACTTCCAGTATTTGATGGTAAAAACTGGAATCGTTGGATGATCCAAATGCGTGTACTGTTTGGTGCTCAAGATGTTCTGGATCTTGTCACTGATGGTTATGTTCCAGTAGCAGCAGATGCAACTGATGAACAGAAAAACGCGCAGAAGGAAGTAAGGAAGAAGGATCAGAAAGCATTGTTCTTCATTCATCAATGTGTGGATGTAAACGTGTTTGAGAAGATTGCAGACTCTACAACAGCAAAGGCTGCATGGGACACTCTGGTGAGATGTTATGGTGGTGACGCATCAGTGAAGAAGGTGAAGCTTCAGTCCTTGAGAAAGCAATATGAGAATCTCAACATGAAGAATAATGAGAAAGTTTCAGAATACATCTCCAGAGTGATTCTGATCACTAATGAGATGAAGGCATGTGGAGAAACTCTTTCTGAAGAAACAATCATGGAGAAAGTATTGAGATCCCTTACTCCTCAATTTGATTACATTGTGGTAGCAATAGAACATTCCAAAGATCTGAGCACAATGAGAATTGAAGAGCTGCAGAGCAGTCTAGAAGCGCAAGAGTTGCGTCTGACTGAGAGAAACTCTGAAAAGGAAGTAGAACAGCAGGCTCTGAAAGCAACTTCTGATAGGAGGTATCAGAAGCAGTCAGAAGCCAGGAGAAGATCTGATGGTGGTCAGAAGTCAGAAAGCTCAACCTCTGATAGACAAAAGAATGCTCAGAGGGGAAAAGAGAAGTATGACAAAAGAAAAATACAATGTTACTGTTGTAAGAAGTTTGGTCACTTTGCTAGAGATTGTTGGTCAAACAAGGAGAAGAAATCAGAAGAAGCAAATATAGCCAGAAGTTCTGATGACGAATCTGTGCTATTGATGGCCTCTGAATCTGATGATCTGACAGACTGGTGGTATATGGACACTGGCTGTTCAAATCATCTTACTGGAAACAAGAAATGGCTGGTTGACTTTGACTCTGAAAAGAGAACAAAGATCAGATGTGCTGATGACAAATATCTTAATGCAGAAGGTATGGGAAATGTCAGAGTGACTCTGAACAATGGGAAAATAGCATTGATTCAGAATGTGTGGTATGTACCTGGCATCAGAAGCAATCTGATGAGTGTGGGACAATTAATTGAGAAAGGTTTCTCAGTTACCATGAAGGACAATCTTCTGAAGCTGTATGACTGTAATCAGAAGTTGATTATGGAGTCAGAACAGGGAAGGAATAGAACATTCAAGGTGAATGTCAGAACTGCAGACTCAGAGTGTCTTAGTGCAACAAGTACTGAGAAGGAGAGTGAGCTGTGGCACAGAAGATTTGGTCATTTGAATTTCAGAAGCTTACAACATCTGAATTCAAAGAAATTGGTACATGGAATTCCTGCAATTAAGAAGCTTGAAAAGTCATGCAAAGTTTGCATGGAAGGAAAACAACCAAGATTGCCATTTGCATCAGAAGTTGCTCCAAGAGCAAAACATGCCTTGGGAGTTGTACACTCTGATGTGTGTGGTCCATTTCCAGTAGCATCAATTGGAGGGAATAAATACTTTGTGTTATTTGTTGATGAATTCACAAGAATGACATGGGTATCCCTTATTAAGTTCAAACACGAGGTGTTTGATGAATTCAAGAAGTTCAGAATGAAGGCTGAGAATCAGAGTGGTCAGAAGTTGAAGATTCTTAGAACTGATGGTGGAGGTGAGTATAACTCCAAAGAGTTCCAGAAGTTCTGTGAGGAGAATGGAATTGAGCATGAGGTTACTGCTCCTTATACCCCTCAACACAATGGTCTTGCTGAAAGAAGAAACCGTACTTTGCTTGATATGGTGAGAAGCATGCTAAAGGAGAAGAAGCTTCCTCAGAAGCTCTGGGGAGAAGCTGTTGCCACTGCAACGTATGTACTCAACAGATGTCCTACGAAGAAGTTGAAGGAAATAGTTCCTATGCAGAAGTGGACTGGAGACAAGCAAAGTGTTAGTCATCTGAAGGTGTTTGGTTCTGTTTGCTATAAACATGTTCCAGAAGCCAGAAGACAGAAGCTGGATGATAGAAGCAAAGTGATGATTCTGATAGGGTACCACAGTACAGGTGCATACAAGCTCTATTGTCCAGAAACCAATAAAATTGAATTCAGCAGAGATGTGATTGTGAAGGAATCAGAAGTTTGGAATTGGGATAAGTCTCAATCTGATTCTGATGTTAGAACCTCTGAAGAAAGGTCAGAGTTAAGAATTTCTGAAGTTGAAGTAAACCCTGACGTTGACTCTGACTCTGATACTGATTCAAACTCTGAAGAAGACTCAGAAGATGAAGGTGACTCTGATGACCCAGACTCTGATGACCCAGACTCTGATGATTCAGACTCTGATGGCAATCCAGATCTTGGTGGCAATTCAGACTCTGGAAATATGCCAGACTCTGAAGATGGTCAAAGCTCTGGAGGTCAATCATCTGAAGCTAGAAACTCTGAAGCTCAAGACTCTGAACAAGTTCAGAGACCACAAAGAATCAGAAGCGTTCCCAGAAGATTTGCAGAATTTGACATGCTGCAAGACACTGAAGTAGACTCTGAAGGAGAAGTTATTCAGTGTGCCATGTTAGTAGACTCTGAACCTATAAGTACAGAGGAGGCTCTTAAGCAGAAGCTCTGGCTGAAGGCCATGAAAGAAGAACTTGATGCTATAGAGAGAAACAAGACTTGGAAGCTGACAGAACTTCCAAAAGACAAGAAAGCCATCAGCGTCAGATGGGTTTTCAAGCAGAAGTTAAAGCCAGATGGCTCAATTGGCAAACATAAAGCAAGGTTGGTAGCCAGAGGATTTCTACAGAAACCTGGGCTGGATTATTCTGAAGTGTTTGCACCTGTAGCAAGACATGAAACAATCAGAATGGTGATTGCAATAGCTGCTAACAGGAATTGGCCTCTGATGCATTTAGATGTAAAATCTGCATTTCTGAATGGTCCATTAGAAGAAGAAGTTTACGTGTCACAACCTCCTGGATTTGTGAAAAAGAATCAGGAAGGGATGGTGTACAGATTATACAAAGCTCTATATGGACTGAAACAAGCGCCCAGAGCTTGGAATCAGAAGATTGATTCATTTTTCAAGAAGCAAGGCTTTCAGAAATGTGAGATGGAGTACGGTGTCTATGTTCAGCATACTTCTGAAGGCAATATGACTCTGGTATGTTTATATGTTGATGATATACTATTGACTGGAAGTTCTGAACAGGAGATAGCCAAGTTCAAGAAGGTTCTAATGAATGAATTTGAAATGACTGATCTAGGCAAAATGACATACTTTCTAGGGATGGAGTTCAGATATTCTGAGAAAGGTATCATTTTGCATCAGCTCAAGTATGAATTAGAACTTCTGAAGAGATTTGATCTGAAGAATTGTAAGATGGCTGTCACACCTTCTGATACAAATCAGAAACTGGATTCAGACTCTGAAGGAAAGGATGTGGATGCTACAACCTTCAAACAGTTGGTTGGTTCTCTGAGGTATCTGTGCAATACCAGACCTGATATTTGCTACTCAGTTGGGATGGTTAGTAGGTTCATGAGTAAACCTAAGTGGTCCCATTACCAAGCTGCTGTCAGGATTCTGAGGTATATCAAAGGAACTCTGAAGTATGGAGTGTTATTTCCCTCTGGAGGAAATAATGAGTCAGAACTTCTGAGTTATTCAGACTCTGATTGGTGTGGAGACAGAGTTGACAGAAGAAGTACATCTGGGTACTTGTTCAAATTTCTGGGAGGTCCCATTTCTTGGTGTTCCAAGAAGCAACCTGTTGTGGCGTTGTCAACCTGTGAAGCTGAATACATTGCAGGTGCTGTTACTGCATGCCAAGCTGTGTGGATTCTGAATCTGTTGCAGGATCTGAAGATTAAAGTAGACAAACCTCTGAAGTTGATGATTGACAATAAGTCTGCAATCAATCTTGCTAGAAACCCAGTGTTGCATGGGAGAAGCAAGCATATTGAGACCAAGTATCATTTTCTGAGACATCAAGTTCAGAGTG